ATAGAAGACTTCATTTCCTATCAAACACTACCTAACAAAGCAAATAACATGCAAATTCTTCACTAATGACATGGCCCTAACAAACAACTTTCAGCTTCTGGATTTCATTTCTCAAAAGAGAGCCCTTGAAAATTATTAGTCCATCGCAACCTGTTGATGATACCTTAATGGAAATAGAACCAAATTTACTATCATTATCCCCACCTCAGCCTTTTTAATCAGATGAAGCTCCTTCACTCCAGCCCCTGACTCTCCTGCTCTTCTCTCTCCTGTTCATGTCTCCACTTGCAAACATGAACAACTACCAAGAACTTTTGTTCCAGCACAGCCTACAGCAACTCTACGGGAAGAATTGTTTAGAACTATGAAAGAATTGCAAAGTCAAGTAAAAGAGATTCAAGAAAAACAAGCTAGTAGCTCATCTTAAGCCTCCGAATTTGCTGAATCTTCTAAAACTCCTCACTGCTCCAAAATCGTCTCTCCAAGTGTGAGTACATAACCATCAAAGAGAGTGATGTATTATAAATACAGAAAGAAAGACAAAACTGGGAAAAGAAAACACATTGGTATTAAACACTGCGTATATGCTTGACATTTTGTGTGATGTAAAACTATGATCATATTGAATTAATATTCTTTCCTTCAGCAATTATTCTAGTAAAATAAATTTATAACAAAGATGTACAATGTAACCCCCAAAAAAAATCACATCAGAGAAGGCTACCCAGAAGAGATGTCCCTATTTAGGTGCCTTGCAATTTTTTTCAAAAGTAAAAATGTAATCATGATTACATTAAAACATTGTTGATGATAAACTTTGCATATTTCAGCATAAATCTATGAAATCTAATGATTGTCACATTTACAAAAGTAACTACCAATTTTTTCATTGGAGTATTTTACTGTACATTCAGTTTGGTTTCACTTTACTTTTTTTCTTTTTTGTTTTAGCTTTGTACTACCAATTAGAGGAGCTGCAAAGAAAAACATACCTGAATCCAAACACAAACATGCACGCACACACACACACAAACAAACAAACAAACATAAATCATGGAATGAGATCAAAACCTAGACCAAAAACTACTTTTTCACACAAAAAAAAAAAAAAAACTGCTATTACACACACCAGAATCATTAACAGCAAGAAAGAACATAAGAAGTATTTAAACAGAGATTTCACTCCTCTCAAATGTTTAAAGGAAATTGATGCCAATGCTCTGAAGGAGCCCACTTGAAATTTTATCAAAGATGAGGCTGGATTTTGTCTCTTACCTTCATTAGTTCTGTTACAAGACCAACATAACAGTGTTGGGTTGTATTTCTCCAGACGGTTCCATACATGCACATGTGGGTATATATATCTGATTATGTGTAGGCATGCATGAGTGCTTGTATGCACATGTATGTGAGTGTAGGTGTAGGTGTGCACATATGAGTATGTGTATGCATATGTACATGCATGTACATGAGCATGGACATGTGTGTACATGTGCATGGACATGTGTGTACATGTGTATGTTTACATTATGTGTGTACATGCATATGTTTACATTATGTATGTACATTTATATGTTTACAGTATGTGTTAGTACATTTATATGTTTACAGTATGTGTAAGTACATTTGTATGTGTACATTATGTGTGTGTGTGCCATACATCCACATGTGTGTATATATATCTGAGTACACGTATATGTGGGTATACATGTGTATGGAAGTATACATGTACATGCTGTGTACATGTGTGCATATGTGGGTGTGGGTGTGTGTACGTGTGTACCTGTGTGTGCATTTGTATACATATATATCTACATGTGTGTGAGCATATATATATGCAGGTCTGGGCATGCGTGCGTGCGTGCGTGTGTGTGTGTGTGTGTGTGCGGTTGCATTTGTGTGTGCATGTGTGTGTCCATGAATGTGTGCATATGTATGTGCGTCAATCTGTGCATTAGTGCATGTGAGTATACATATACACACATATACATGTGTGTATACATGTGTGTGTACATGTGTGAATGTATGAACATGAGAGGGTACATACGTGTACATGTGTCTGTGTATGCATACATGTATGTGAATGTGTACATGTGTGCATGTATGTGTATGTGTGTATACATGTGTATGGGTGTACATGCGTGTTCAAATGTGTAAATGTATGTACGTGTATAAGTGTGTGTAAATGTGTATTGCATACATGTCTATGTATGTGTATGTTCATACATGTCTATGTATATGTATGTGCATACATGATTATATGTGTACATGTGCATACATGTATATGTGTGTAAATGTATGTGCATGTGTATGAAAGTATATGCATGAGTATGTGTACATGTGTGTCCAAGTGTGTGTATAAATGTATGTGTGTATACGTCCATGAGTGTGTGTTTATTTGTGTTTCTGTGTGTTTGTGTTTGTTTGTTTGTGTGTGTGTGTCCATGTGTATACATTCATGAGTGTGTTTATTTGTGTTTCTGTGTGTTTGTGTGTGTGTGTTGTGTGTGTGTGTATGTGTCTGTGTGTGTGTGCATGTGTGTGTGAGTATGTGTGTGTGTGAGTGTAAGTGTGTGTGTGCGCGTGTGTGTGCGTGTATGTGTGTGTGTGTGTGTGTGGTGTGTTGTGTGTGTGTGTGTGCGTGTGTGCATTTGCGTGTGTGTATGTGTGTGTGTGTGTGTGTGCGTGTAGTGTGTGTGCGTATGGTGTGTGCGTGTATGTGTGTGT